CCCCCCACTTTTTACCAAAGTATATGCATAGCAAGGAAATATAGGAAAAAATTGGAAGTGAAAGGAAGTTTGCCTTGAAAAACTTGGCAACTATCCCCCCCCCCCCCCCCCCCCCCCCCCCCCCCCCCCCCCGAAACTGGTTTTCGACACATTTGGGTAATTTTCCTTTTTTTTTTTTTTTTTTTTTTAGGTAAACAAAAAAAATTTTCTCAGGTTGGCCCCCCCCCACTTTCAAAAACGATGCTACGTGCTTGATATAAGTTGTGATATTTTACAGAAAATTTGAGAAAATATTAACTGCAAATCTGTGTCTAAGCACCTGTAATACATTGTACTGCACTATCTCACCATTTGAAAGAATAAACAGACATTGATAAAAAAAAATGTAATTATAACTGAAGCATAGAATATTTGATTATACTTTTATTGCTTACAAAATTATGTTTTTATAGGATGAATAAATCACAAGAGTCCAAAGTTTTGATGACCATGCAGAGTCGAGATATTGAAACAAAGACATGCCTGCACTGTTCACTCAATTTTTCAGAATAACGTGTCAAATTGAAATCCATCTTATGTTGGACTAAACAATCAGGACATTTTTCTGGATCACAGGTTGTAAGTGTTTTCATTGTATATGAATGAGAAAGATTTTGCTCTTCCTATGTATACTTCAGATTGAAACCTGAAAATGAGAATTGACCAAGTATATGTATTTTTGATAAGTAAACAATTCATATTAATATGATGAGCACAATCTGAATTTTTATTGGATCTTTATATTTCACTTTGCACAAATTTAAAAGTATTTTTTATGCACTGAAATCTTTATAATGACGATTTAAAATGTTTTATCATTAATTTTTTTCAGGCACAAAGTATTGACAAAATCAAAGATTACCTGGTAGTCTGCAAATGGAGTGATCATTGGATGAGCCAGACAACACCATTTTCCTCAGAAATTTTAGTATAGAGGCAATCTCCATCTTCATAGATGACTGATGTCGACATTTTCTCACTTCTGTTTCATGTCTTTTCTACAGCATGGACTCCAGCATCAGTGGGCACTTGACAATTATTCTTCTTATTTTGTTCCAATATCCTTAAATATAGGACAAACAATTCATTTATCTTTTAAAATATTGTTAAATTTTACTTAATAAAACGATGAAAACAGTGCAAACAAACTGGTTTCCCTTACAGAAAAAACTAATAGAAACTTATAAGTGTTTTATAATCCACTTATAAGCAATTTATAAGTCACTTATAAATTTTGAAATTTACTTATAAGTGTACTATAAGTCAAAGTAAGTATAAGTGGGGGACAGATTTTGTTAATACTTCACTTATAAGTAAAGATGAGCTACATATCAATGAATATTTCACTTATACCTCACTTATAAGTGAAGATTAGTATGGTATGAGCGAGTATAAGTGTGGACTTAGAATTTTTACCCTATACTAGACTTCTCTCAAGGAGCACTATGGGTATTCAAGGTAGCCAATCAGAAAGTCCGTCTCTCCAGAGATCAGCAACAAGAATTTGAAACCAAGTTTGTGTCTGTGAGAGGATGTTGGAGATTTTAGATTTATTTTGAGTATACCTTCACATCAGGTACAACAAGTAGGTTCTATTTACATCATCTCTCTATTTTAACTTCCTTTGCCTGAAATTTTGAATCGATTGACTCAGTTGCTTTCAGATTTCATAAATTTGAAGAAGCCTCAAGGTCATTAAATCTTGTTGCCTTTTTGTTTAACATTTTTGTTTGTAAACTGAATTAATATGTTAAGTTTGCATCATCAAAGAAATGTCATATAAAAGGGATTTTTTATTCATACAATTTTTACTTGATTATTTCATCTAAAGTGCAGATTCATGTGTATATCTAAAAGATAGCTTTGAACATATCATGCAACCCCTGCATGGTTGGAAGTTCTGTTCTAAATTAAGATCTTATAGGTAGTGTTGTACTTTACTTATAAGTGACTTATAGATGACTTATAGATGACTAATACTTGATAAAGTATGAAGGGTTAATGCTTGACTTATAAGTCACTTATAGTCACTTATAAGTCACTTATAGTCACTTATAAGTGACTATACTTGCATAAAGCATAAGTGGCTAATACAGGCTTATAAGTCACTTATAGTCACCTATAGGTCAAGCAGCTCATTTGCATATAAAATCCTAATGAGTAACTTATTAGTCACTTATAAGTTAAATGTATCAGTGAAGTGTAAGTCCAGAATAAACAACTTATAAGTAAAAGAATAAAGCACTTATAAGTCACTTATCAGAAATTTCTGTAAGGGTTATCCTATAATCTAAAGCTGTTTTATGGTTCAAGCATTTATAATTTTACAAGACTTATTAAAAATCTGTTAAGGTACTTGGATTCTCAGCCAAGAAGGATAACTCTTTAATTTATAATTTAAATCAGAATCTCGAAATGAATCTTGAAAAATTAAATCTCTTCATGCAACAGTTTTTATTTTATCATGATAATGTTTTTAACTTCTCAATGTCCTTTAAGGTTGTTTGAAGTTCTCAGAAAGGTCTTGTAGAAAGTCGAAATGTTAACCTTATATAGTAAAACTCTGTTAAAGAAAAGTCAATGGGACCTATGAAAATACTTTGCTATAACCATAATTTGTTTTATCCGTTTAAGGAATTCATTAATTTACATAGCTGGGGATCCAAGGTAACCTCGCTATATCAGTGAATTCGCAATATCTGTGTTCATATCTAGACAAATTTTTGAAATAAAATCTCTTACTTAAATATGAATTTTACTCTTAATTCACACAAATAAACAGAAATAATGATTTGACATTTGAGGGCGAGACAGCACCATGACAATGGGCCGAGACAGAGATATCTCAGCCCCGAGGAAGAGACAGCTGTACTCAGGCCCCCAAAAATTATAGTCTTGTTTCCTGTTACCCAACCTACCTTAATTTTTCGCACCTGACCCTACAGTTTTTTAGGTTTGGAAAAAATCTGGAATTTCTGTAATTTCATGTTCCATGTTCTAAAACTGAAAAAAAATAATGTATATTCAAGTGGTATTTTACGAAAGACGAATAGGGCCACATAAAAATATTTGTATCTCGTAATTACGAGATCTTTTCTCGTAATAACGAGATAATTAACTCGTAATAACGAGATCTTTTCTCGTAATTACGAGATAAAAATATTTTTTTATGTGGCCCTATTCGTCTTTCGTAGTATTTTATGATACTACCAAGTATATGTTTTAAATATGGACTTTCATAACATACTACTTGAGTCATGCATCAAAAGACAAAATTTAATTTGTAATGAAAATATTGGTCTATGACATGTTTGATTTGGTTTTGTATTAGTTCATATCGAAAATAATAAGAAATTAAAAAATAAAATAATTTTCCTGCCTACCTACCCAATTTTTTTTCAGGCTGGTAGCAGGAAACAAGATAATAATTATTTTTTTTGGCCTTACAAGGCACTGTCTCACCTAGTCCAAAACATCTGTATCAGAGCTGATACACTACTAGGTATATGATATAGGCATATATGCATGTTTGCGTACTAGGGAACTGTCAATGAATAAACTTACTTTGAAAATTTACAAATACAAAAGGAAAAAAATTGCTGGGACTCAAAAATCAAACTCAAGAAACCTGCATTATTTCATACCTTCAATATATCTGCAGGTACTTATGGCTTAATATGTATAATGTACATGTTTGTGCTTTTCTATCTTGTAGTTGCACCAGGCAGCTATTCAGATTCCTGCAATGAAAATTTTTGTTCTGAAAACTCATAAAAATTAACAGGCTTTCTGTTAAATTGTTTTATTGAAATAGAGAAAGGAAAAAAATTATAATATATTTTAAAAAATCATAATCCTTCACACTTGCGTTATGTATTTTAATTTTATGTGTATATAGGAATATTTTAAATTTTGGTATAATTCTGTTATATTTAAGGTAAACAAAAATGTATATCCTGGATCTGAATTTACCTAACACCGATACATTACAGGAAGGTTTGGAAGGGCAAGGTCAAAATTCATTGGTGACGTAGTTTAATTGATGCAGACAACAAACGTTGTTTTGCACCGAGATTACAAATAAAATATCAACGAAGGATTTATGTGTTCAAAGAGTTGGAAGTATAACAAAGTCAAGAAATACTGCATGTGGCATGTGCATCACTTGTTCACATACTGTGACATAGAAACGATAATATGACTTATTTTGACCGTGTGTTACAGTTTTTTAACAAACGTAAAGGAGTTGGATTTATAAGGAAAGCTAAGGTGAAACGATAAGGTAAGGCAGCAATTATAATTTTTAAAAATCTTAATCCTAGTGATATTACTTTGATTGATCTCTAATGTTACGTGTTGGCTATAAATTATAAAACTAATTTTACTTGAGCTAAATTTGCAGTAGCTTAGCCTCGATTATTCTATCGAAATGTTATGTATGAATTGAGTCATACCTCGATCTTTGCCTTTATGCAGTGACTAACCCTTTTATGAATCTTTGGTCCCTTGGGTCTCAGTCTGGGTATGAAAGTTTGTTGAAGAAGTAATATTTCTTGCAGTATAAATATACTTGGAAGTCTCGGGCGTTATAGGTTTTTCGGACGTCGATAACCATAGAGCACTCCCGAACGTATGTGACGTCATTTCCTTACTGACGACGACGTACGGAAAATTACGAACAATGGATGATCCCCTTCCGAAGTGGTGGCCATTTTGACAATGTTAAATCTCCGTAGACTTTGAATTTGCCGCCGTGTGTATACACTGGTTGACCTCGAGGGTTCGGATAAACGGCGGAAGGTTGGAAAAAAAATGATCTATCGATCGGAACTGGGTTGAAAGCCAAGGTATTTATATATTTTGAGATATTTTGCGAAAAGTGCTTACAGTAACTTGGTGGGACAGACTATAGTAAGAAGATTTTAGAATTGAACTGAAATAGTGAGTAAAGTTTTTTTTACCAAGTAAAGACCCGTCTCCCACAGTAAATATATGCTCGTAAACTTGTAGTCCTCTTGTTGATTTTATTTCTTTTATTTCATCAAGACTTTTTCCCATGAGACTGTAGAGAAGTGTTGTTTTGCCAGCACCAGCACATCCAACCACAAGTCCTCTTGCATGTCTTACTGTTGTAACTTCTGTTCGCATGTGTTGTAGAAGATCTTCTTTAGGGTTGTCAAGATCTGCTGCAATCAATATTTATACTTTTACTTAATGAAAATATATGTACAATTTTCCATTTAATTATTATCTTCTTAAAAATCAATAAAAACAACCAGAAGTCTCTGTCGAGACTGTAGCTCTACTAGTTTGTACCAGGTATTTAAAACAAAGAAAGGAAAAGTGGTAGTTGGGACTTGAAAATTCATAACAGTAATAAACAGAATAATAATCTTGTATCTCACTGTACACTACTTGCATGCCACATTATACATGTACTATGATCAGACTATGTTTAGTTTTGAATTGCGTATTTGAAGTATATTTCACAGACATGGTTATCTATTCCTAGTAACCAAGGCAACATCGTTTATCGAAATCAAAAATCGATATACATAATTATATATATAATTATGTATCTTAGTGTAATCTACTTGTGTGCAAAGTTATATTATCCTTCATAATGATACATTCAATCTGTTTGGTTTAGAGTAGGTCACTTGCAGGGAGACAACTCGTAATGTGAGCTCAACATGGTTAAATAAGGACCCTCGCTGACAGTATTGATTTCCTTTTTCATTTGATAATAAAGTATAAGGATCATACTGGATCATATATTTTATTTTTCATTTACCTTTTACCTTTTAAGGTTTTGTTTATATGGAATCAATAGTGTACACCACTATTGGTCTAGAATTCAGCAATGCAAATAATAAATATTTTTCTATTACTGCATCCAAACAAGAGGCCCACGGGCCTTATAGGTCACCTGAGTATTGTGTAACAACTTTCAAACAATTAAATTTGGTTTGTGTTTTAAACCAGAGGCCATGAAATTCAATTCACAATCTACAATTTTGAAAGAGGCACCATTGCTTATCATAATTATTAACTTAGCTTACTCTATTTACTTAATACCCAGAGGTAGATCAGAGTACAAAAAGAAAATTGCACTTCCATTTTATACCCAGTTGTGTACCTCACCCTAAAGGAACCACTGATCCATGGGCCACATACCGGAATTTCAAAATTTTGAAAATGTTGTCATAAAATGGTTGATTAAGGTAATTCCACCCTCCTATGATGTCATAAGTTTTTGCAAAAACTATAATTAGTTTAAATTCATACCTTATAGAAAAATATCTCTTAAAAGAATGCTTTACAATAGGTGTAATGATAAATATTGTATAGTTAAAGAATTTAGAAAATGCAAATTTTCTATATTTAATCAATATTCAATCTTTAAAAAATGTTTACAAGGGCAATAACTCCTTCTAAGGTCTCTTCATTCAGGCATTTGCTTTTCTGTAAAATAGTTTACCTGATATTCACAATTCAAAAGTATCTTTTAAGTAGGAAGTATTTAGAAACACTCAGCATCAGAATTATGCATTTTAACCAGTTTTTACATATTTTTCTTAACACCGTTTACAAAAAATGTCTAATTTTTAATGTTGACATACACTTCTGTTTATTGTTGTTTCACATCTTAAATAATATGGTGACCTATACATTGTTTGCAATAAATGGAAAGTTTAGAGTATATTGAATGAAAATAAATACAGTTTATATACTTTGAACCTATAAAATTGTGAGGGTGGAAATTCCTTAATACCAAACGCAGATTTCAAAGCATTAATTTATTTTCAGACTATGTACACCCCCCCCCCCCTCTCTGACTCTGGGGGCATAAAAAACCACTTTGCTAGATGCAACATTATTCATCATAAATGTATGTATACTTGGATCATTGGCACAAAACCCCGAAGCAAAGGAAAATATTTTCAAAGAATTAATGTATTTTTACTATATAATCAATAGAGCCCCGCCCTAACAACAGAACACCTAACCCTGGGGCAATAAAATTCACAATTTTGGAAGAGGCACTGCTGCTCATCATAACTATGTGCTTAGTTAGTTTATTTAATACCTAGAAGCAGAGAAGAAGATTTTCAAAGAATAAATGCATTTTCACTATATAATCAATAGAGCCCCGCCCTAACACCAGAAACCCTAACCCTGGGGCAATAAAATTCACAATTTTGGAAGAGGCACTGTTGCTCATCATAACTATGTGCTTAGTTAGTTTATTTAATACCCAGAAGCAGAGAAGAAGATTTTCAAAGAAATAATGCATTTTTACTAAATAATTTATAGAGCCCCGCCCTAACACCAGAAACCCTGACCCTGGGGCCATAAAATTCACAAATCTGGAAGAGGCACTCTTGCTCATCATAACTATTTGCTTAGTTAGTTTATTTAATATCCAGGAGCAGAGAAGCAGATTTTCAAAGAAATAGTGCATTTTCACTATATAATCTATAGAGCCCCGTCCTTACACCAGAACCCCTAACCCTGGGGCCATAAAATTCACAAATCTGGAAGAGGCACTCTTGCTCATCATAACTATTTGCTTAGTTGGTTTATCTAATACCCAGGAGCAGAGAAGAAGATTTTCAAAGAAAAAATGCATTTTCACTATATTATCTATTGAGCCCCGCCCTAGCACTAGAACCCCTCACCCTGGGGCCATGAATTTCACAATTTTGGTAGAGGACTCAATGTTCATTACATTCATGCCAACAGTTTGCCTGCTTGATGTCCAGGAGTAAAGAAGAAGATTTTTAAAGATTGCAATAATTTTAGTGGTTTTGGCCCCATCCCTTAGGCCCCAGGGGGGTGGGGACCATGAAATTCACAATTTTTGTTTCCCTCTATCCATAGATGCTGTATACCAAATTTGGTTGAAATTGGTTCAGTGGTTCCAGAGAAGAAGCTGAAAATGTTCAAATGTTAACACACGACGCACGACGACGGACGAAAACAGATGGCAATAGGTCACCTGAGTTACTCAGGTGACCTAAAAATAGGTACACCTCTCTGGGTTTTCTACAATCACTGTTCAATGATTAGATAATGTATATTTAAAACTCTTGCAGGTACATATAACTTAGCAAAGTATGGCCCCCTGATTCCTGATATTTCACAATTTATAATGTAAAGTGAAATTGTGCAAAGTGACTGCAAACATATTTTCAGAAAAATACCATGCACCCAATCAGAACCTAAATCTGGGTACTAACACATGCAAAGTTAATCCAAAGATTTTTAAGATGGTATACAGATAAATGTTATGACAAATTGTAGTTTGCTAAAATACAAGTTAATGTTAATCAAATATGGCACAATATCTCAGTTACTTGTGCTGATAATAATTTCAATATAGTCAGATGTAAGGATTGGCATTAAGATACATACTTGGACTTGAAGTTCTTTCTTCTTTGTTGGCAAGCTTTTTCAGTTCTTCCTGCTTAAAGGAAAAAAATATAAAATATTTATAACCTTTAATAAATTCAGCAGATGAGCATATTTAAGATTTTAAAAAAATCCCGACTTATATGTTACTGTAGCATTTCATATGAAAATATTATAAAAATTTTTTTTATGGAGGTTATTGAAATAATAGAGTAGTCAGGCAAAACAAAATATCATTGAGATGGTGGCCATCTCAAGGGCCCTGCTTTCAGCAATGAACATGAGAATGTAAGGTCGCTGAAAAGGGGTTTATTTTGAAGGTGTTTGAGTCTAAAGAAAAAGTAACTTTTCTCTAAAAATGATAAAAGAAACTTTTAGAAAAATAGTTGCATATCCTCTATCAAAATATGCAAGGACAATCAGAATTGTTCCGTACCACAAGTCAATTAGTAAAGTTGGAGGCTGACTGGGCTTAGGAGGTTTTTTTTACCTGTTTACCTTGACCTAAAAATTTCGTCTAAAGACACTGCCCATCCTATGACCAATTTCACTCTGAGAGAAGTATGAGCCACATTGAGCCGAGGAGAGAGAAGATATGCTCTGGACATGATATCCCGGATGGATGGACAGACAGATGGACAGGTAGAGGAATTGATGGACAGACTGATCTCTATATGGCGCCTGCCGAGCGGGCCCTGATGAATTGTTAACAATAGGCCCATTGGCCACAACGCTTACCTGAGTCACTTTGGCCATGCAGTTCTTCACCAGATCCTACCCCTTGTAATACCTATTGTTTGACAACCCTACCCCAGGGTCATGATTTGAGCAATTAAGAAGCTATACTATTCCAGGTGCTTTCAAATAATTTTAGGATTTTTGGTCCAAGTTGTTTTTTAGAAGAAGATTTTTCCTAAATGTTTCAATGCAAAACTTGAATTCCTTGTTGTGGCCCCGCCCTGATTTTCACTGGTCTTAGTTTAAAAACAATTTGTAAAATAAAGTTCCTACAGAAAGAGGTATGAAAATATCTGACGTTTTGCAATTTTACTTTTAGAAAATTTGGAAATGGCCCTTTGGGGTTCAAAAGAAATAGGAAATCTTACAAATATGTAAAAAGGGCATAAAAACGGACCACTGGAAATCCACAGAAGTGTGATCAGTTGCCTAGGAGTAAGCACCCCTTGTTGACCGGTCGAGTCACAACACAGGGGTAATAAGGAAGCATACAAAATATTTTAACTTGACTAGATCAGTCCTTCATTATGACGTCATAGTAGGCAAGATGACGTCAATTTTAGAACACAAGTCTTCGTAATATTATTAATTTTGAGATGTCATTTAACTCTAGAAAATGAATAGAAACGTGTAAACAATAAAAACAAATAAATTGGTTTTATTTTGATTTGCTGTGTCAGTCATGTTGATTGAAAATCTACCACCGATGACGTCATACGTGTATATCAAGTAACAAAATGCCCATTTAAACGCAACTTCAAACCATCAGTGAGTTGAATGTCTCGTTTTTAAATTGATTGCAACAAGATCTTGAGTAACAAATAACTAAATATTATAATAGCACATTTGTACTTCATGTTTGCTTTCAGACCTCAGTACTGATGATTTCAGTACTTTATTGATTGCTTTCACCATTTCATGCTGACTTACCATTTGAGTCTTTTCTATCGGATTATCTTCAGTTTCAGTTTCCCCTCTGATCGTCAGTTTTTGAATAAGATTAAGCTGATCCAGGTACTTCTTTCCAGTGAAGGTTTCCAATCTTTTGCAGATATCAGACATTGTAGACCAGGTGTCGTTGAATTCTGTCTGAGAGGTGGAGGCTGAGCTTACATATGCTGTTAAACCATTCCGGATTGATCTAATTCTCTCGATATCATCACCCACGGTCACCTCTCCTGCTGCAGGCTCATATCCCCATTTTCCTTTTGTTGGTAAAGGAATATTTTTACAAATGTTTCTGATCAATGTGTATGTTAATGAGATGTCAAAATTCTTATATCCCGAATGCTTAGCATCTAGCAAGGTATGCTCTTGTTCTGGGCGCAATCTTTTATAAACAAGTGACGCTTTAACTTTGCTGAAAATGTCGGAAGGTGAAACCTCCATCTCTAGTATATCTCTGTATGCCTGATTTAACACATCGTTTGTTGCCATTCTGAGTTTGGCAAATCTAGTTCGGCCAGTCTCCTTTCTCTGAAAAAAAATTCATTAAGTTAATTATTTACAAAGAATCAGTAACTTGTTGGATATACTTCTTAAGCCTCTATGATGAATGATTTGAATTTGATAGGCCACATTCGACATACAGTCATTACAGTTCATACTGAAATGGTTAGTTTTGATGTAACGAGCCTCTATACCAACATACCGCATACACTTGGACTAGAAGCAATCGCTTTTTTGATAAACAAATTATACCATAATCTAATTAATGAAAGATTTTCCAAACACTTTAATGGCAACGAAATAAAAAAGAGTTAGAGAATAAACATTTTTCTGTTCATAGAAATTCAAATGAAGGCAACAGCAATGGGCAAGAAAGTTGCCCAACCTATGCTACATGTACCCTAGTTCTCGGGTTTTTAAGAGTAAAAATCATCAATGATTGTTTAATTTTCTGGAATAGATCAAATGAAGATTTACAAGAATTTCATACTATTCTTAACAATCTACACCAGTCTATTCAATTTACAACGGAAAAGGGCGGATCAGAATTACCCTTTTTAGATATCCTTATAATTAAGGAGAGTCTTAAAACCATAACACATTTATACTACAAAAAACAGATTCCCACCAATACTTTTTTTAATTCCTGTCATCTTTCACATGTAAAACGTAACATATCCTTTAATATAGCAGGACATGTTTGTAATCAATGTCATGGATGAAACAAGAAAAAATGGGAATTAAACATAACCATGCATCATCTTCATGTTACTATAGTCCTGCTGGACACGTTATTACAGCTGACCTAAATATAATTAATAACAAGAAAACATTGATGTAACCATCAATTGTCGCCCGTGAAAATATGTTCAGTCTATGTTCCTAATGATAATGATTAGACTTGATTACTCATTTTGTAAACTTTAAAAAAATTTTACAGCAAGTACGGTGCCTTTGATTAAAAAAATAACTTCACATTAGATTTCCCAACTTAATATCCGGAATAACATATAAGATCAATTTTAACATTGGCCGCAGCAAACAGGATTGAAAAGATGCTGCTAAATCGAAACATTGTTGCGCTATAAAAATATATGTAAGTTTCATGATTGAATCACGTTCATTGCTGCCAAATTTTAAGTGAAGTTTGTGATCAAAGATATAAAATCTGCAATTTTTGAAGAATTTTTTGATACATGGTATGGTTTTGAAATTTACGTAGCATTTGTGTGACGTTTTGGCAACATTTTACATCCGTGATCAGATAGACCTGATCGTGTAAAATATATCAGCACTTGATTTCTGAAGATATCAATGTTTATTTTTGACGAATTTACTAGGCCATATTTTGTTCTTATTACATAGCACACCTGTACATGTACTTCATGCTTGCTTTCAGACCTCAGTATTGCTGTCTTCAGTTCTGAATTGATTGCTTTCACCATTTCATGCTGACTTACCATTTTAGTCTTTTCTATCGGATTATCTTCAGTTTCAGTTTCCCCTCTGATCGTCAGTTTTTGAATAAGATTAAGCTGATCCAGGTACTTCTTTCCAGTGAAGGTTTCCAATCTTGTGCAGATATCTGACATTGTTGACCAGGTGTCATTGAATTCTGCTTCAGGTGTGGAGGCTGAGCTCACATTTGCTGTCAAATTGTTTCGGATTGACCTAATTCTCTCGATATCATCTCCCACGGTCACTTCTCCTGCTGCAGGTTCTTCTCCCCATTTTCCTTTTGTTGGTTTGGGGATCATTTTGCAAATGTTTCTTATCAATGTGTATGTTAATGAAATGTTAAAGTTTTTATATCCCGAATGTGTAGCATCTATCAAGAGTTGTTCTTGTTCAGGGCCCAATCTTTTATATACTGATGATGCTTTCACTTTGCTGAAAATTACGGAAGGGGGAACCTCCATCTCTAGTATATCTCTGTATGCCTGATTTAACACATCGTTTGTTGCCATTCCAAGTTTGGCAAATCTAGATCGGTCTCCCAGGTCCTGTCCAGAGGCCATTGGAGTGATGGAATCAGTCGCCATTCTCTGAAAAAAAAAACTCTTTCAGTTAATATGAACATGGTGAATAGGACAGTTTGAAATTGCCAATAACAAAAACATATGTACCTGTAACCCTAGTCCATAAAGCGGACTGGAATCGAAAAAGCCTTTTAAAATGTGATAGCAACTTTCAAAAACCACTGTTTACTTCAAATTAGAACCACACCAAAAAAGGAGAATCAGCAATAAAGAAGTAACAAGGTTGGATCCTAATTTTTAAAGCCTTAAACTTTTTTGTCAAGTACATCCTTAGTTTCTATACACATAGCTTAATTAACAAGAGGCCCACGGGCCTTATAGGTCACCTGAGCATTATGCAACAACTTTCCAGTTACAGTGTATTGAATTTGATTCATGTTTTAAGCCAAATGCTAAATTGCATTCACAATTTTAAAAAAGGCACCATTGATCATCATAACAATACACTTAACAGTTGCTTAGCTTGGTTACTGAATACCCATATGCAGGGTAGGGGAACAAAAAGGCACTCCAAGTAATCAGTAATATTCAGCAATAATCAGTAGTGCCCCTTACACAGTGACATAAACCCCTGACCCTAGGTCCAAACATTGCACAAATTTTTAAAAGGCACCCTTAAAATTGCCAATCAAAAAAATAAATAAATGTTTTATAAATACAAAGGAGCAGATTTCAAACAATAAATTCATTTTCAGTTTATAAGCAGAGCCACCCCCCCCCCCCACATCCAACCCCTGACCCTGGGGCCTTAAAATACACAATTCTGCAAGATTAGGGCCCTTGCTCATCATAACTATATAGATAGTTTATCTACTTCATACCCAGAAACAGAGAAAAAATTTAATGAATTTTCACTATATAATCAATAGAACCCCGGCCTAACACCAGTACCCTTGACCCTGGGACCATAAAATTCACAATTTTTGTTGAGGCACTCTTGCTTATCATTACTATGCACTTAGTAAGTTTATTTAATACCTAGGAGCAGAGAAGAAGATTTTCAAAGAATTCATGAATTTTCACCATATAATCATTAGAGCCCCCCCCCCCCAACACCAGAACCCTTGACCCTGGGGCCATAAAATTCACAATTTTGGTAGAGGCACTCTTTCTCATCATAACTATGCACTCAGTTTTTTAATACCTATGAAGAGAGAAGAAGATTTTCAAAGAATTCATGTTTTTTCACTATATAATCAATAGAGCCCCCCCCCCCCCTCTAGAACCCTTGACCCTGGGGCCATAAAATTCACAATTTTGCTAGAGGCACTCTTGCTTATCATAACTATGCACTTAGTCAGTTTATTTAATACCTAGGAGCAGAGAAGAAGATTTTCAAAGAATTTATGTATTTTCACTATATAATCAATAGAGCCCCCCCCCCTCCCCAACACAAGAACCCTTGACCCTGGGGCCATAAAATTCACATTTTTGGTAGAGGCACTCTTGCTCATCATAACTATGCACTAAGTTAGTTTATTTAATACCTAGGAGAAGAGAAGAAGATTTTCAAAGAATTCATGTATTTTCACTATATAATCAATAGCCCCCCCCCCCCCCAACACCAGAACCCTTGACCCTGGGGCCATAAAATTCACAATTTTGGTAGAGGCACTCTTGCTCATCATAACTATGCACTTTTTTATTTTATTTAATACCTAGGAGCAGATAAGAAGATTTTCAAAGAATTCATGTATTTTCACTATATAATCAATAAAGCCCCCCCCCAAACCACAACCCTTGACCCTGGGGCCATAAAATTCACAATTTTGGTAGAGGCACTCTTGCTCATCATAACTATGTACTTAGTTGGTTTATCTTATACCCAGGAGCAGAGAAGAAGATTTTCAAAGAAATAATGCATTTTCACTACCTACTTATTTAGCCCGCCCTAGCACTAGAACCCCTGACCCCAGGGCCATCAATTTCACAATTTTGGTAGAGGACTCAATGCTGATTACAATCATGCACATAGTTTGACTGCTTGATGTCCAGGAGTAAAGAAGAAGATTTTTAAAGATTATTTTTAGTGGTTTTGGCCCCAACCCTCAGGCCCCAGGGGGGCAGGGATCATGAAATTCACAATTTTTGTTCCCCTTCACCCATAGATGCTCTGTGCCAAATTTGGCTGAAATTGGTTCAGTGGTTGCAGAGAAGAAGCTGAAAATGTTCAAATGTTAACACACGACGCACGACGGACGACGACGGACGAAAACGGATAGCAATAGGTCGTCACCTGAGTTTACTCAGGTGACCTAAAAATCAAATCAAAAAATGGAGACAATTTGCTTCTTTTGGCTCTACGATGCTCTACAGTACATCAAATATGACCTTTTTTCCCTGAAATTCTAATGTTTCCCTCCTAAATTCTTATCCAATTAAAGCATGGAACAAAAGAAATTATAAGTCTTTTTAAAATAAGACACTGTATTGTATAATTTTGACTTATAAAAATTTTGCCAAAAACATTAGAGTGAAATTTAGTTACCTTGCCTTTATTGTAGTTAAATGGGGAAAACGTCCCATATACTTGCAATGTAGCAAATCGGAGCGGATCCACTTCGAAACGATTTTGAAGAATTTAAAACGATTTGCACTGGAACTCACTATCAAATTAATCAAATCAAACCTTTTTGTGGATGCATATGCCTTTTATCCCCAAAAAATAATCCATAGAAGGAAGAAAATCCAAAAAATTATCTCATTTTTTTTCTCTTGCTTCAAATTTACCTGCCATATTTACATTCGGGACTCTTTAGAGTGTTGGTAGTAAATGTACAGTAAACAGTCAGGGGCATAACTTAAAAAAGTTATAAAAAAAAAATAACTTAAATAAGTTATTTTTCATTATTTCACACAAATAATTTTTTTTTAAAAAATAACTTAAATAAGTTATTTTTATATCCTACTTGGACATTGATTTCTTGGATATTTCGTGTTTCCTGCCCATTTGCATTGCATTTTGGGATTCCATTATGTAATACTAGATGGAGTTCACTGACTCCAATGGAGAATGGGTGAGGAGGTGGAGATAAACAGCATTTTACTCCTTATTTTGTGGTTTTATCCACATGGTGTATATGTACAACTTTTATCATTAAATAAAAAAAATTCCCCACTTTTCCCAAGACTTTGGACACTTTTCCTGCATTGAGCAAGGTTTATATTTAGTCAAACATTTGTTTTTGTCTTGGTGCACGAGCAAAATCCTTTGGTGCACGGGGTGTGAAGTTAGGGAGGAATGACACAAAATAACTTAAATAAGTTATTTATTTATTGAAGCTATTTTGGAAAAATAACGTGTTTGAGTTATTAAGGTTGGGAAAAAGTAGGTCATAGCAAAGAGAAGTAACTCATTGAGACAAAAAAATAACTCATTTGAGTTATTTTTGAAAATAACTTGTTTAAGTTATGCCCCTGACTGGTAAATGTACTAGTGCGAGTTATCACCCTTGTTTCTTTTGCTACATTATGAATACACGGAACGAATTCTATCGTTAAACCAGGTCCATAGGACATTCATCATTTTAACGATAGAAAATTCTATCTAGAGGTTTTTAAATCAATACAACGAGGGGTGATCAAAAAGTTCGCAAACAACTTGAATAACTTCCATACAAGAAACAATATTTAGTTTTAATGTTGATTATATTTTAAATTATTCATCCCCGATTTTAATGTACATCAACCACCGTTCTGCGCATGCCCAAAACACGTGATATTGGCGGTCACTTGACCCCCTCCGTAGCGTTCTGTCAACAAACGTTGAAAGATTGTTCTGAGTTTTATATTTCTTTCCATGTGAGCTAATTTTTATGACAAGAACAGTTCATTTGTCAGAAATGGTCATATCTTGACAACAGAATGGGTGGATAATAATATCCTTTCCAAAAAAAAGCATGGCGACCATTAAAACACAAATCTTCTATCTCGGAGAAACCTTTATTCAAGGTGGATAGAGAATGAATGCATCCTTATTATCATATCTATTATGTTTAAAATCTAACGTAAACGATATCTTAGGTATTTAAAATTATATCATTGTTCAAATATTCAACTATTTTTGGGAGTTGAACTATGTTCAATCTCCCATGGTCATCACGTATTTAACATGCGCAGTAATTTGTGTTGATTATATAGACCCGAAAGCGAGGCTACTGTGTCGGCTGATTTACTCTGATGATATTCAACAGAAAACATGCATAAACATCCGCCACAAATAGTTCATGTCATTTTCTCATGAATTAGTATAATTTTCATAATTTGAAATGTAAGTAAATGTAATAATGATAAAGTAATCTTTTTTTGAACATTAGATTTCGTTCAAAGTAAAACTGAATTATAAAGAACCTGAAAAGTTTTTCGTAATGGAACTAATTTTTTGTGTGGCGTCATACACTGAAAGAGATACGATCGACAACTCTACACACTAACGGCAAGCGGTAAATTTAGTTGTCCCGACGCACGACAGTCCCGGATTTTTAGCAATTTCTTTTTTACCGGTGCGCAGAATTTATTCAAACTTTTCATGAACATTTCTTGGTTTAAGATAGGATTCTTCTCATATTTCTAATGATTAAAAATTAATGAAATTTTCACAGAATCAAGAAGACAATATCAGAAAGTGATAGTATCAGTAAAATTAAATTTGACCGTTTTATACTAGAGGCAATGTCAGGTCAAGGTCATTATCTTTTTCCTTGACATGAAGAATAAAAAATAACTGTTGCCAATCATGTGATACCTACTTCTATTTCAAATGTTTAATGATTGTTCTTTTTGAATAAAAACTTATTACTATATCGGTCTATAGCATGATATTACCAAATTTACATAAATAATTTAACTTAAGTGTATATTGGCTAATCCGAATTTTCTCTGTTTTTCTTAATTTTTTGTCCCCCGCTTTCGCGGAAGCGAGGGGACATTAAATCTCATTCGTCTGTCCGTCAGTCTGTCTAGCTGTCCGTCTGTCAGTCTGTCCGTCACAAAAACTTTATTCTTGC